TGCAACGTATGTAACGTATGTAACGTATGTAACGTTTGTAACATTTGTAATGTATGTAGCGTATGTAACGTATGTAACGTATGTAAGGTATGTGACGTATGTAATGTATGTAAGGTAATGTAAGGTAATGTTATGTTATGTTATGTAAGTAAGTATGTAGTAAGTATGTTATGTATGCAAGGTATGAAATGTATGTAACGTATGTAATGGATGTAATGCATGTAATGTACGTAATGTAAGCAATGTAAGCAATATAAGCAATGTAAGTAAGAAAGTAAGTAAGTATGCATGCATGCATGCATGCATGGATGTATGGATGTATGATGATGCATGTATATCTCTATTGATATATATATATATATATATGCTACCCCCCCCTGAAAAGTCTACCTTTTTTGTGAGTTTGGAAGGGTCTCAAGATTCCAGCTGTACTAGAGTGGTGATAATATTTTGTCATCAGTCCACACATGGAAAATTCTGAAGTCATGGGTGGGCTGCAAACTTCAGTCATCAGTCCAGAAGTAGGAACTTCTGAAGTCATGGGTGGGCTGCAAACTTCAGTCATCAGTCCAGAAGTAGGAACTTCTGAAGTCATGGGTGGGCTGCAAACTTCAGTCATCAGTCCAGAAGTAGGAACTTCTGAAGGCATGGGTGGGCTGCAAACTTCAGTCATCAGTCCAGAAGTAGGAACTTCTGAAGTCATGGGTGGGCTGCAAACTTCAGTCATCAGTCCAGAAGTGGGAACTTCTGAAGTCATGGGTGGGCTGCAAACTTCAGTCATCAGTCCAGAAGTGGGAACTTCTGAAGTCATGGGTGGGCTGCAAACTTCAGTCATCAGTCCAGAAGTGAGAACTTCTGAAGTCATGGGTGGGCTGTAATCTTAAATCATCATTCAATAAACTTGCATGATCATGGGCAAGCTGGAGGCATAAATTTCAAGCCAGTACTGGGAATGAAGCTCACACAACGAAGGAAGGAATCAAGCACATGTCCGGCGGCATAGCAGCAATTTCTTTCTCACCGGTGATGTCCTGGCGCACAAGCGTTCAAGATGCAGGAACCACAATCTCAGACATGTAAGCGGACAGGAGTTCTCCTGTGCGCACCCACATGTCGTCCCCCCGGTACCAATACTCATACTGGGCAGAACGAATTTGGGCTTGCAAGCGGCCCATGCCAGCACGAACGTTCGTCCCTTCCGACAAACGTTCCTTAATAAATTTCCAGCAGCGGTCAATGTGCTGGGTGCCACATTTCACCTTCACGGTCTTTCCCCCAGGCAACTTGTGGACTTTCATCTTAACAAAATTTGGCTTGGTCCATTCCCATTTCCCATTCTTTTTGACACTCTTTTTCTGGTGGACAACCGAATCATGAAGAACGCCAGGGAGCTTCATCTTGTACGCCTTGGCCGAGTCAGTGTGGAAAATCACAGAGCGGTTGGCCAACCATTTCTTGCCCAAAGGCCCCCAATCCTGTTTTGTGATGGGGCCGGGGCCTGGAGACCGGGTAGCTGTCAATGTTGGGCTGAGTCGGGCAAGCACTAGTGTCTGAGGCTTCCCTCTCTGAACCAATCCGCTCCATTGTTCCCAGAGCATGGAGCGGTCCGCTTTCACTTCATGCTCCCAGGCTGCGTCTGACAAGACATCCCTCTTGTCAAAGGTGGCTTCATCACCTTCGACATCAGACCATTTTCCAGAAGCGCCAAATTTGATGCCCTTCTCCTTCTGCACCACATACTTCTTTCGGACCAGTTGCAGGTTCTTGTGCATGGCTTCAACAACCTTGTGGTTCACACCCAAGATGAGGTGGATGGAAGCTAGTGGCACGCGTAGAATCACAAGAAGTAACAAGGCTGATTGGGTTTGGAGCGACAAAGCTTCAGGGCCCCTGCCAGCATGGAAAAGTGGATGCAAGTACTGGGGGTGGATTCTTTGCTGGCAAGCTTTGCTGCTACATCGGTATTTCGGCTTGGCCTCGTTGCAATGGGTTTGCAACGTAGACAAAGTGCCACGGTTGCACTTGGGGCAACGCTTGCCGGACCAATCTGGCAAAATCTTGTCATGGATCAGCATCTTCACAATGTCAATGTCCGAGGCCTTCAGGAGTTCAGGCACGACGCGACGCCAGTGAGCTTGTTCTCTTCGAACCCCCGGGCTGGAACAGCACGAATTCCTCTGACATACGGCACTTGTTTCCAAGATTGCGTCTTCAAGCTGGCTGGGCGCTTGATCACCATGCGACCTTTACCCTTCTTTGGCCCAGGGAAGTTCATGAATTTGGACACCATGACAGAATGCGCAACTGCAAGTAATGATGCGGAGCAAGAACTATCTAACTATCTAAGGGCACTGTGAGCCATGTCATGTCAATGAATGCAGAATCACAAGCTGTGTATGGCGAAGCCACGCTGGAACTGCAAGCATACTAGGACATGCACTGGGACATCAGAAAAACCACAAGCCCAAACGTGATGACCCTGAAAACCTTTTTGCCCTTGCAACAGAAAAGCTCCCAGTCTATTGACAGACATGCGCACACTCTCACGCGCAGTTGACACAAGACTGCGCCACAGTGTGAAGATGTCAAGCTGTGTCTTGAAACAGTTTAACAAGTCTAGGCCCCCCTCATGACTGCGGCAGCTTCTTCATCCGCAGCGAAGTCTTCCTCAGCAAGATCCTCGCCCAGGTCTTCTGGCATCTGTAAGGCTTCTTCGGCATCTTGAGCATTGGCTTCCAGAGATGCAAGGGCAGCAGCTGCATCAGTATCCTCCACTCCCACTGAAGCACTTGGGTGATGAGATTCTTATTGACTGCTCTTGGTTCTGTACCTTTTAGTAGGCGGGCATGTGAATGTGCCCAAACGGTTGCAACGTTTTTTTGGGTCAGGCACAATGATGGAAGGAGGGGGCATAACTTGATCATCGCCACTGTCTGACAAAGCACCCGATGGCCTATCAGGAAGGTGGACCGGCGGCACCGGTGGCAAATGGCTCCAAAGTTGTTCCTCAATTTTTCCATTCACAACCTCAATGTATGCCTCTGGCCTTCCTGCAGCAAACCTCTCCAGCCCTTCAGAGATCATACGCACTTCTTGTTCAGTTTCTCCTTCCCATTCGGGGCCATACTCCAAAATGCCCAACTTGTACTTGGAGTAGAGGGGCTTGTCCTTTTCAGCCAAAAGGTCTCGGTGGAGGTCATCCACCTTGATGCGATGCACCTTGGAAGTAGGATCCTGACTGGGCAGGCGCAGGTATACAGCATGGAGCCCGAGGATGATGACCACTGCCCGCTTCAAGCAAGCAAGGACATCAGCATGCTTGTCACCTGCAAAGATCCGGCGAGTCAGCTTGAGGAACTCTTCTCCTGTGATGGAAGTACGGTTGTCATCCTCAGGCTCGTCAGGCCGGTCCAAGTCATTGGAAGCGTAGGCGCGCATACAGTTGCGAATGAGCTTCGCATCATTGTAGCGGCCTGATGTTGTCTGCTCCTCCTCCACTGTGAGAAAAGACTTCAAGTCTGCTATGGAAATGCTGTCACGGTGCGGATCATCCAGAAAGATGCCCTCGTAGACCTGGCCGATTTGATGCCTGAAATTGTCTAAGGACTTAGCACGCCTCCATCCAGGCACGCCATCTGCTTGTAACCGGTGGATGTGGTATCGGCCCATGGCCAATAGCATAGAGATCAAGGCTGGTGTCTTTCCCACTCCAGGCCAGCCAATGCACAAGACCCCATAGCAAATGAAGAGGGGATACAGCAGGGGCAGCAACGCCTCCGCCAGGAATGGCTTCAAAGAGAAGGTGGTCAAAGGAAACTCCCGTTGCAAGGTGGCACCGCTTGAGGCCCGGCTCTTGTTCTGAGCCATCAAGCGAACCTTGGTTTCTGGCCACCCTGCAATAGGGCTTTCCGAATCCTCCTTGATGTTTAACAAGATCCACGTGTACTGCTCATTCTGAGCGTCACTTTCTGGCGCGTTTTCGTTGATGAACGCCACACCTTGCCGAAGGACGTCTTCATCTGGAGACCAGGTCGATGATGATGAAGCGGGCTTGGCAACCTTCTCTTTCTGACAGACTACGTTCCATTGGACATGATGCCCTGGCACTCTATCGAGCAAGGATTGAAATGCCTTCTTGACTGCCCAAGGGCCTGCGCGGAAGAACGGAGGGTAGGCAGACCCAGATGCAATTTTCGTAGCCTGTCCTGTACTCATGGTAGCCTTGAAAAAGACGAGTTTGATGACATTCAAGCAGCCAGGCGCTTGTTCAATCACAATGCCACCGATTTTGGCTCCTGATGGCACCCTCTCTTTGAATTTCAAAGGGGCAGGTAGGTCATCCACTTGTTGAGATTGCAAGGTTGAAGCAATGGCTTCAGGGCTTTCGGACAGCTGGACGGACAGATGCACATCCAAGAGCATCATCGTGCTTTTCACACCCGTCGGAGGCCGGCAGCATGTGAGAAGTTGCTGGACAGTCAAGGGCTTCCCAATGTCTTCAATCTTTTTGAAGGCGCAGCAAGGCTCAGAGCGCGTCTCGTAATGCCACTCCTTGCCGCCCAAGGTGTTCATGGCCTCATCGATCAAAGCAGCCATGACCAAGGAACAGGCAGGGCGGAATCTATCACCTTGATGGGACAAAGGAAACTGCAGCGCTCAGAAAGATGAAGATGCGAAGGTGTTGCAGACATACCATAATCTCCAACTCTTTCTTCCCATGCATGAAAGTCAAGCCTGCACATCAAGTCTGAACATCAAGTCTGAACATCAAGCCTGAACATCAAGTCTGAACGTCAAGTCTGAACATCAAGTCTGAACATCAAATCTGAACCTGGATAGTCTATAGCCCTATCTAGTCCAGCTGGAAATTTTTATCATAGGTATACAAGCTCTACACCCCCAGATGCCAGAATCATGTGCACGTGACGGGTCAGACTGTGCTTCACAGCACCGCAACACTTCAACACGCTTTTTCCTCCGCAGCGCTTCCTCGCTCAAGCTCACCTCTGGGCCCGCAACCGAGCATTCTCCTGTTCAGCTGCCTCTAACAATTCTGCAATGAGCTGGTGGGATTCAGCCAAAGACCAAAACTCTTCTTCCCGTTCCTGGCACCGCTGGCACTTGGCTGGACGTTCATGGCTCTCTTCGCAGGGGGCGGCTGGAGCTGGGGGCGCCAGGTACTCGTCATCCGTGAGGACTTCAGACTGTGGGCCCAAGGAAGGGTTTGGCATACCGTACTCATCGTCAGAAGGATACTCTGGAGGCGGCGGCAAGGATGGGTTGGGAACATACTCCGGCATCGCCTCTTCCTCCGAGGACGTAGAAGAGGAGGAATCCGAATAGGAGGAATCCGAAGTAGACGAGGAATCGGACACCTTGCCATCTTCAAGTTGAAGGACCTTAGTAAGAGCATGCATGTGTGCTGGGGGTGCGGAACAGGAAGTTTAAGAAGAACACACTCTGCTCTTCTTGAGATGAAAATTAAGGCTAGCACTGGTGCAGGTGCTGCAATGGCTTCGGAGTCACCACCCTCTTTGGCTTTGTCAAGCACTCCAGCAGCCTTTGTTCTGCAGCTGCATTCCAAGCACCGTGCAAGCCCACGGGGTCCAAGTGGAGCCCCTTCTGGACGTTGCAGACCATCGCCGCCAGGTGTTTGCGGAGGAGTGGGAGCCGGGTTGGGTGTACCGGCACCTCCTGTCGCAAAGCTCTGTTCAGCAGCGCTTCCAAGTCGGACCTTGGCCTCTCCTCCGCTTGGTTGTTGTTGGTGGCGACATTCAACACTACCAATGCCTGGTTGTCCTTCAAGGTGACACGGCCTTGCACTGGGATCGACATCTTGTCCTGTATGTTGACTGGAGGCAGAGTGGCAATGCTTCGGGCCGAGAGCTACAAACTGTGGAGTGAAGGTGGAGACGCAAGCCTTTGACAAAGATTGACCATATCCCTCAAGTGCAAAAGCTCCTCAGACTTGAGGTCCAAGATTGAAGATTAAAGATTGAAGATTCCCCAGGAGCCTTGTTCGAGAATCTTCAATCCAGGATTGAAGATTGAAGATTGAAGATTCCCCAGGAGTCTTGTTGGAGAATCTTTAATCCTGGATTGAAGATTGAAGATTGAAGATTCCTCAGGACTCTTGTTGGAGAATCTTTAAACCTGGATTGAAGATTGAAGATTGAAGATTCCTCAGGACTCTTGTTGGAGAATCTTTAATCCAGGAGAAAATCTTCAATCTTCAATCCGGGATTGAAGATTCTCCAGGGAGAGTCCTGGAAAATCTTCAATCTTCAATCTTCAATCCGGGATTGAAGATTCTCCAGGGAGAGTCCTGGAAAATCTTCAATCTTCAATCTTCAATCCGGGATTGAAGATTCTCCAGGGAGAGTCCTGGAAAATCTTCAATCTTCAATCCGGGAATGAAGATTCTCTAGGGAGAGTCCTGGAAAATCTTCAATCTTCAATCTTCAATCTGGGATTGAAGATTCCCAAGCCTGAACTCAAGTCTGAACATCAAGTCTGAACATCAAGTCTGAACTTCAAGTCTGAACTTCACAGATCAAGCAAGGCTTTTACAGGCAGTTTTTAAAGGCCTATTTACAATGTATTTATATATGGCACCCCCAGTCCAATCTTATGAAGCTTAAAATGGTAGACTTTTTTTTGGGGGGGGTGCCATATATATATATATATGTACATACATAAATCATAGGATCATAAGGCATGCCTCTTCAAATTCAAACAATTTTTCAAATTCAAACAATTTGGAGCTGGAAAATGCTAAAGGAATCCCACGGGAATCCGACGAGAAGCTGAATGAATCCAAACAAATACTACAAAATGCTAGAAAAATCCAATCCTATTCTGCGTGATATTTAGTTCTTTTTGGAGATCTCACCACTGGCACTCCATACAATCAATTCAAAATTTACAGAAGAAACAGGGAATGCCGAAGGAAAACTAGAATTCAGAGAACATATTAAAGCTACAAAAACTTGAAAACCAAAGAAAAATCAGAAAAACTGAAAGAAACTAGAAAAAACTACAAAACACTGAAAAATACTAACAAAAGCTTCAAAAACCTAAAAAGAGCTAGAAATAACTACAAAAAAACTTAAAAAAGTGGGAAAAAGCCAAACAAAGCTAAAAAGGCTAAACAAATCCCACTTTTTGGCCGCCGAAGGGCGCTCCCTCCAAGAGCTTTTCCTTAACATGGTTGAGTGTTATTGTCTAGCTTTTTCTAGCTTTCTTTAGTTTTTTAGCTCCCAGCACCCTCGTCCAGTGAGTGAGTTGAAGAGGCAGGTCTTGAAGAGACATGTGACGTGTAAGTAAGATAATATAATACGCATATACGCATATATATTGATGGCATTATATGGCCATATCATGCCACTTCAATTGCGAAAAAAATGAACAACACATGATGAACCACTGCATTTGGGAGTTCCAATTTTGTGACAAAGCCATGTCCTACCTTTAATTCAAACATGTTCACACAGATAACATGAGCTTCTGAACCTCTGGAGTTTGGGAGCTATGCCCAGACTAGTGACATCTAAGTCAACAAAGCTTGAGCAAGGAGCCTTCGCCATGTTGCCGTTCAACTCTAGAGCCTGGCGGAACAGTTTTGCCAATCGGTCAGAAATTGTCCCTTTAAAATCTCAACAAAATACCCAGTCGTAAACCCAGTGAAGAAATTGACCATTGCCAAAAAAGAGGCTTGGAGGACATGTCTCGCTATGATTCTTTTTGCAACATGCCGCTGTCTCAAGGAGTCTATAGGTGCTATACATCTAATTGGATGCAAATTGTGAAGTGTGATTTCATTGAAGTTCTACTCAAGAGGTTTCATGAACTACCGTATCAAGACCATTATGAATGCTCAATTGCCTTGTTGCAGTCAGTCTCTGCAGCCGACCATTCCGAGAGTTGCAAGCGTGCGAATGCCTCAAGAACAGAAGTCCGAGAGGCCTTGAATCATTGAAGTGGGTTGGGAATGGGGGGGTCGCATGCTTTAACCCCAAGTTATGGCTATCTCATTCAGAAAATCATGATTGTATAACCCGTATATTAATCCATTGGAATGGGTGGAATTCACCACATGCAGGTGATTTTGCTCAACTTGCCATTCCCGTTTCACATGTCTGCCTGAGCCCCAAGCCCGGTTCGAGTGCAAGATGCTTCTCAGGTTGTCTGGAGCCTCGTTGGCCCAATGCAATCGCTATCACTACAATCGAGAACAAGCTGAGCTCCTTGCCGCAACTTTGCCAGACACTTCCGCCAGCCAAATGGCTTTGGAGAACCACCTCAAATGCCAACATCCAGAAAGAGTGGAAGAGTGGAAGGATCCACCGCAACTTGTTTTCATGAGAGCCCATCACATCGACATGTTGCAACATTTGCCAAATCACAGAGACTTTGCACTGTGACAAAAAGGATTGTGAAGTATAGGGCTCGACTTTGATCCTTCTACAACTACGTCTATGACTTGCAGTGCCACGATGTGCCACTTATATATACGTAACCTGATCAAGGAGTTTGTACATCTGTGATGTCAACACTAGTTACCTCCCTCCGTTCGGTGTTCCGCCTTTCACTTTCGGCAAGCTTGCCTCTCACGATGTTGGTGCAGCTGCATATTTTCTGCTACCCCGTCATTGTACGGGGGGAGATCAAGCCCGGTGCATCACTAGTGGCGATGATGCGGAGCTGGGCACAATCCAAATAGCCATATCCGCATGTTGCTTGGATTCCCAATGAATCATTGGTTCTACCGTTCTACCGTTCTACCCCCATTCTATTTTGAAAAACGGCCGAATGTCCCGTTAACATAGAAAAAAAATAAACATGCTTTAAGGACGTGTCCAACTTTGCACCCAAGATCACCCAAGCCTTCTTGGAAGAGCTTGTTGCCAGTATCCTTTGCCTGTCCGCACATTCAAGCTGGTCAATAAAACAGAGGGAAGGCCTCTCTGGAGGGCGAAGTCTGTTGCACCAGGGACCAAGGCGTATGCGTCACAACTTTCAGCTTCATATGTAGCACAAAGCTGAGCTGGAATGGGAATTCCCGATCTCAGACTGATGGAGTTTCTCATACAGCAACACCTTTGTCCCATCTCTTGAGATGCACTGTGTCAGATTGATATCAAGTCCTTGGATTTCAGGGTCCAGCACTAGCACCCGATTTCAGCACCTTCTCCACACCTGCAACTGAGTGCCTCAGCGCATTTTTTCTTGGTGGCCACCAAGCTTTACAGAAGTACTAGTCGTTACTAGTCCTGTGGGATCATGATCTCAGGTCAGCAAGCAATACTGCGAATAAGAACTCTGAACTCTCGTTTCAACTGGTCTTGCCTTGTGCTACGCCCCACGTCTTACTGGACGGCTGACGGTCTAGAGCCAAAATCAGTGCAAGATTGAAGTCCAACAGCTATAGCTTTCCAAACCCAAAACAAGAGTGGCAGAATGAATGTTCTTCGGGCCATTAGCCCACTTGCAAATGCGTCAAACACATGAGCGCCCGCACTCAAGCTGGATGTCAGCAAACGGTTCCACAGGTGCCTAGACACACCGGGTTTGCAGCAAACGTATGCAATGACGGAATATGGTTATGGCAATTGTCAATTGTTACCCAAGAATGGGACCAAACAACAACTAGACATCACTTGACATTGTCCAAAGATGGGGGGAAAAAGCAGGGCCTTTATTCTGCATTCAAGTCAAGGCATCAAGGTACAGGCTCCGCCTTTCCAGCATCCCGTTCTGGCTTCTGGGGCTCCTTTTCGGAGATATCTGGTGGATAAAGCATGGCGGGTTACGCATGCTTCAAGCCATCATTTACATGTGCAATTTCGGTTTGGATTCTGTTGCCCAGTTTGCTGTCCGCGGATATCTTCTACTGATCTAAGATACTCAACAGCTGGGTTCTGCCAGCTTGTAATAACCAAAAAGAGGCAAACAAGAATGATTAGCAGATTAGCAGTTTCAACCCAAGCAAATCACCTGTCAATGTATGTCAATGTCCTCTTTTGGCTTCGTGGCGTCAACCTCCTCCTGCAAGGGCTGCATGGCGATCTGACAACGCGGTTCTCATCTGCGCCATCACTATGCCTACAGCATGCCTTTTGCCTGCAAGGCCACTGAATTTTGCACCGCATTTGCAGTGGATGCAAATTGTCTTGCTAGGCAATAAAGGATCAAACAGAAAATAATCAATCAGAAGGGAGCGGAAGCAGTGTCATATCTCCTGCACCTCCCCGCCAAAGGACGTTGAGGGACGGTGTTTTCGCCACAGCTGAGCCCCCAAGAAAGCACAATCAGGATCATATCCACGCAAATATGGACCCCATACTCCTCTCATGATACTGGCACATGCCTCATAAGATGCATTTGGGTAGGTTTGCCTGTGTATTACAATTTTCCTTCGCACACATCCCAACTCAGGTGCTGTTGATTGACCAAATCAACCCTGAAAACAAACCCCTTGCGCCACACTCACCACACAAGACAATCGCACAAAAATGGCACGGTTCAGTACGGTACTTTGGCTGAGTTCAGCTGTTGATTCTGCATCTAGCCGTAGATTGATGATATAAATCAAGGGGTTGCCCCTCCTCATCATCGCTGGCCTCTACAATCTCCATGCGCTTGAAACCTGCGCCATGAGATGAACCTTTGGGAAAAGAATCAGCAAGGTAAGGTTGGATGGGGTGACCATAAAAATGCTTATATATATATATATACAGTAACATCTGCTTACAGCAACATCTGTAGGTATCTGTACAAAATGTCGACGCCTCACTTGGGATGTCCATTCATGAAAAATAGCGCAATTACCCCAG